ACAAATGTCTAGGATATAAAAGGACCGGATTGGAGGTGAGCAGGTGTCTGATCATCAAGCAACCTACCGGGCGGTCTGATTGGTCGCCAGACTCCTCAGTAGCAATCTACTGAGGAGTCTGGCGACCAATCAACCAAGCAAGCAACCAATCAATCAACCAACAACCAACCAGCCAATCATCCAACAAACAAATCAACTCAAACTAAACCAGGTAATCCAATTCCACGTTCAATCTAAGTTCCACAACAATACTTAAGTTACAATGATATGAGAGCAAAAAGTCAAAATATAATAAGATAGCTGAGTAATATCGGTCTACCTGTTATTTCTCGTTTATAGAAAAATAATTTTGATTGAAATGATTGGTCAGTGCTATTACCACCCCTATGTGAATTCGGAAAATGATGTTAAAATGAATATATTTTAGCTGGCCAAGCAAGACTGCATTTCTAAATTTTCCTGTTAACAAATATCAAAATTTTTGATACAGAGGATAAGAATTGTGGGCAATATTTATTACAGCTTAGCGATTTTAAAAATTAAGTTACCAGATAGTGTTGCTGTTTAATTTTAGCACACTATTTCTTATGTAAGCTGCAATTTAAACTTAGGTCAGATTAAATTTAAATCTTTACTATCCAGTCATTACAAATGGTCACTTCCTGCTAAATTTTTCTTCTAGACAGCAATACAAAAAAAGCATGTAAGATCCAGAGCTTGCATTGATGCACAATGCGAACATGCGGTCCAAAATTCAAATAACAGTGTACAGGTATGCCATTCTCTGATGTACTGATGTACATTTCATTGAATTCCTTTAATTTTATAAAAAATTTTGTTGGAAATTCAAATGAATTCTTAATTCAGCAAGATAATCACTAAGTAACGGTAAATTCTGTCCTTGAGGTAATGTATTACAAGCTGTCGTATGAAATGATTTGTTAACTTATATTCCAACAGTGTTATCGAAAATTCAAATCATTTGAATATTTCCTCATTCGATCTCTTATGTAAATTTCTATTATCCACCATTTCTTGTTGACTAAATTAGTCAAATAGAGATTTTCACGTCTTTAATAAGTTCCAAAATTTAAATGTCCACTGAAGCAGTAAATATCTTAGAAGTCTAAATTATAGTTATCATACGTATTGTTTGATTATATTTTATACTATATGAATTTGCCTACCCTTCTGACATATATATCATAAAACACTACGACAGCTTTACTTTACTGATAACGGCCCAACACCAACCAGAAATCATAAACCAGTTTCTTTAAAAATCCAACCTTTTTGTCTGAAAACTGAAACGAGTAAAGTACTATAGCAGCGTGTTACTGATATGAATATAGATATTTACTGTGGAAATAACTAAAACAGTATAAACAACAGCGAAAAGCTAAAACTAAGTCATAATAAAGAGGACAGAATTTACAACAATCGCTTATCACAACTGCATAAATGATCTTCAGTTAAAAGATATTTGTGGTTAAAATAAAGAGGCAGAAATATATATAACTTATATTTTAACTGCATTCGTAATAGCCTCAAGTTTAATTATGAAGCAGTATAATCAATATGATCGATGAGAGCAAGAAATCTCGAATGAGGTACGGATTTCTTTAGACACAGCTCCTTAACAGCAAAACAACGATGAATGAGAGAAAGACGTGGTCGGAGTGAAGCTTTAATGCGTTTCAGGGAAGAAATAAAGGAGCATAAAAACGACAGGGAGTGGGGAAGTCAGATTTAGATAAGGTGAATTCAATTTCAATGACAATTGTAGGTGCAAAAATTACAGTCTCTATATAGGAGCAGATCCATAATCACTCCGTCATAAACACACAATTAAGTGAACAAATAGATTTTTGGACCGCATCTCATTTAAGCAAAATAACGACCGAACAGCGCGAGTCAAGCTGAGCAGTATCGAGCTCAAAATTTTTATAAAGACGCTAATAATCAAAATAAACTAAACTTATGACTTCAAGTTAGCGATTAAAAGTAGACGACCTTTTTTTTCTATCCGTTCAATACATAATGCAAAATAAACTGTTGCTTTGCCGAATAATAGAATTGAAATTTTTGGAAAACACTGAAAGTAATAAATGGAGGAAGCGGAAACCAAGTCTAATAGATCGACATCTTTTATTATATTTTGTGAAACGATAAAACCACAATGTGAGTCGCTGGAACATTCCTTCTTGATTTGATTGATATGAAAACTTTATCAAGTCCAAGATTAACTCTCACATGAGCTTAGTTGGGAGATTCAATAGTGCTTAGGATCAATGAGCTCTACTTTCTAACTATTATGATTAAACCGGTTGTGAAATTTAAACAGCCAAAAATATTCAAAAAGTATTTAGGAGGGACTCTTACTGTGAGGCATTTCTATAGACTATCAGAGTTCGAAAGTAATCACTGCATGATTCGTGTATGTTTCGTGTATTAAATTTCACTGTATTTGCTCATAATTAGAGAGAAGGAAATTTACAACCGTGCAATGAACAGTGTAATACTAGTCTTTTTATAGAAAACCAATCTTAACCCTATCTAACTTGAAAATCTTTAAGGATCAATCAACTTACATGAAAAACAAAAATTCATTTAATGATATTGGCATAGAAAAGTGAAGACCAAAATTTGTTCGCATCTGTAATTAGAAATTTGGAGAAGGTGTTAATATGTTGGGGAAATTAATGGGTATGATGTAAAGGAAAAAAGACACGAATTATCCGGAAACATCGTAGAAAATTTTGTTTAAAATTAAATGATAAAGGAAGTGCAACGAATTCAATAAAACTGCCACTAATACAAATAATCACATTTCGTCTTTCTTAGCCAATATCGGTGATCGTGCCAAATCGTAAACACCGCAATAATTGCATACAATGGTAACAAGCGTAAGTGCATTACTGATACTAGAAAGTTGGTATAGCGCTGCAGTAGCCAACGCTGCGTCGTTATGATAGCGAATGATGCCATGGGTAACGAGAGTTGAGGGAAGAGGAAGGCGAGGGTCTGGGACCGGTATGGTTGATGCGGGACCTATCAAACAATTCCGATGTTTTAATATTCGAGAGCATGCTCGATTCACTTTCCTCTCCTCCTTTCTCCTATCACTATCCTCCACTATATGATTTGAGCCTCTCTCTTTTCTCCCCTCTAAACTCAATGAATAAGGCTTCCTTTTGTAAGTATTAAACCAACTATAGGCTTTTTAGTATATTACAGTGTAAGATATGAAATGGCACGAAGAGTACTGCTATATTCATGTCAAAGAACTGGTTTTGTAGGATGGATGAAAGCGCTTCTCAAAAGAATATCTGGAAACGATAATTTGCTGACTTTGAAATTGGAAAAAGAGATTCCAGTTTACTTTCACTTTTATAATGCATGATTTCATCCACGCGAAAATAAACACGCATATACACATACATACATTATGTATATATATATTCCCAACATCCTCTCATCTACACATCCACTAGTGATGATCAACTGGAGTATTGAATCATCAGAGTTGGTGAGAGTGAAAAATACGGTTGGAACAAAAAAAACAGCAAAAATTGATCTATTCTTTGGATAAAATGAAGTGGCATGGAGATGTGCAATTTAAAATAAACAAATTACCAAGGATCGTAGGCTGGCGAAGAAGAAAGACTGTTACAAATAGTAGTGTCCGAAGTGTTAAACCTAATGGCCATAAAAAAGTCACTATTCTCACAGCTATTCCTATTAATGTATTTATCAGCAAGGAGTTTAGCAAAAATGCTGTGTGGGGATGAGTTTCTACTGCAGCAAGCGTGACATAATGTAAATAATGCATGAAAACGATGCAAACAATGCAGGAGGTTGGCTAAGAGAGTAGGGTGTGATGTACATTTTAAGATGAGAAAAGTTTGCCGATACCGGAATATATGTTCACATTTAATTTCATTTTCATTACGAAGTACTCCTACCTCCACCTTTGCTTGTCCCTTTGACTATCTGTTACTTCACGTCTTAAGTTCTCCTTCTATCCTTTGCTGTCTATTCTTTTAAAACAAAATAATCTTTGAACCAAATTTCGTTGGGCAGCAGAAGATAAATGATCGGTCGATGCGTCTCCGCTGCTATTCTTCACCTCTCTACAAAACAGAACAAGTTTGTGTACAACATCTCTCTCCAACCAGCCTGTAGCCATTAAATAAGGGTTGGGGAGAAAGGAGCGAATCGCATGGTTACGGCAGTATGGACCGTATAATTGCCGGACAGTTATCGGTACAGTACTAAAACATTCTAATTCCACAAATTCTACAGTCAGAAAATGCTAGGTGTAACTGTACAGAGGATTCCAATGAAAATAATCGGTCGCCGACATCTGTAAGTATAGGACTGCAACTAATTGGCTAATTAATAATGCTATCTTATTGTTCATCTGATTCTTCAATCCTAGGAAATTCTGCAATCGATTCATAGTCGTTACAGGGAGACCATTGAAAGTTTGCGAAACAATAAATGTAGAATTTCAAGAATTTGCATTGGCTTAGTTCAATCAAAATATATGCTTTCACTTGACACATAAGCTGTTCAGTGCTGGGGGATGCCAAGCATTCCATGACAATGATTATATGTTACAATTCGCTGATGAAATAAAATATAGTATTCTTTACCATTATATATTACGTATAGGCAGAAAACAGAAAATAGTTGGAGTAAAGACGATAATGACCTCAACAAATTCAATGTAATCTTGCTATTGCAAGCACTGATTAAATGTTTGTGGCAATGATTCATCACACACTTAGGTACTGTAAGGAACTTAAACATGACCTGTCAAAATCATGAGGGAAAATAAACGACAACGAATAATATTGGTAAGATTGAGTGTTGGACGAGAGTGCTAGGTGATGCTGAGGAAGATGAACATGATCACTGAGAAGATAGCGAATGCAGTAGAAATGACAGATCTTTGAGTGAAACTGATTAGTCCAAGAAAGGAGATTAAAGTACCGGCATTCTACTGACAGCAGTGCATTAAGAAATGAATAATCGGATAATGGGAGAGGAGCATTTCGATCCTCTATTCTATCAGGATCAAGATGTGTCGGCAATTTCCTATTGTGCAATGATATGATTCTTTGAATACCGTTTTTCCTCCTCAGATCACACTCCGAAAAATTTATTGAAAGAGAAGACAGCATGAAAACAGGTACATCAAGAAGTGATTAAGAACAAGTAGGAAATGAAAATTGCAGTTAAAATAAACACAAGAGAGGAAAAAACAAAGCAAGCTGGACGGATAAAAGTATCTTTTTAGGGGATATTTCCTGTCAAGAGGAATTGATTCCAAGTGTTTTGTAAACTTTGAACTATGGTACCGAAAACATCTCCATTGGTTGTAGCTATCATTTACGAATGAGAATTATGATAAGCAAAAAAAGCGACATCTATAAATTCTAATTGCTTAAAGCTAGGCAAGCAATGACTGAAAGTTGAACTTGAAGATTCGAAAATGTGAGAATGTTGAGACAGCCAAAAGAGAATCGATGAGTAGTTGGTTGAAGGACACAGATGATGGCTTGGATATTTTGTGTCATAAATGCGTCAAGGAAACATAATAGGCTTTCTGAAAGAATGAGTAGAAGTCTCCTCCCAATCATTATCCCTTGAGGGTGCTAGTACAAGACAAGTAGTCAGTCACTTCATCCCTTTCTCAAAGGATCAAAATATAACATTGATTCCATGACAGGAACTATGCTCGGCTGTCAACACTGTGACTTTTCAGGATGCTTTGGGAACTAATGAATAGTGAAATAATAAGCATTACCGGTTCAGCATACAACTACTGATAGTTCTCTTGCCAATTTTAAATTAAGTGACGAAAAGGCCCCTTTGTAGTCTGAAAATAGATTGAAATACTATGAACTAGTGTTGTTAAACTTTTATCAATTTTCGCAGCTTGCTTTCTTGTACAAAATGTACTGGAAGTGAGAATAGGGAAATTAATTTAGCAATTTGAAAACTTCGATCGATTGCTTCAAAAAATTCCATCGCTAAAATAATCTTGTTAATTATGATTTCTATTGATGGTTATTGCACAACTGGAATACTTAGCAGACCACTTTTATTTTCATTATAATTACACTACTCGATGAAAAATGGAACATAAATTCCTTTACCATACCATTCCATACTACTAGGTAGCCAGCTTTCTATATTATAATTTTACTCAAACTCAAAATCTTTGTATGAAGTCTACTGATTTTTATCATTAAGACACCGAACTGGAATATATCAATCGAAAATTAATTTAAATCTCACTTGCGCCAATCCATGCCCAACTTGCAAGCAAAATTCTAAAGCAGAACTGTTTCAAATATTCAAATTCTCAATTTCAAAATCTTTCAAATACTCTACTTCTTGTTCTGTCATATAAATAAAATGAAAACTAGCTATAGTCATGTTCAAAAATACAAGTCTCATCGGAAATTCAACATATACGTGATTTCTAATTCGTGTAATTCACCGAGAACACATCAACTTATTTCTTATTCAATGCATAAAAATAATTGCCAATGAAAATTATTCAATTCAAATCCTTTAGAGCACTCATTCAGATCTAATTTTTGTTGCTTTGAGTTTTCTAGAAGGAAAGCGAAGTATATTTATTGTTATCTCCATTTATAATTGACTAGATTACACAGTATATAATATTGAACGAATGCACGTTGCATCAGTTATAAAAGCTAGTCGCAATCTTTCGCTGCAAACGTTGGACAACTAAAACTGCAGGGAATCCTTCTCACAGAAAGCAGCATCTTAAAGAAAATGAGTACTGAAAATTTAATATTACTGCAATTCTACCACTAAGATGCTTAAGAATTCTATACCTGCATTTCATAAAAAGAGAACTAACTATTCTTCCAGAACACTGAACATTACAAAAATGATAAAAATTATTCCAAACTTCAGCCTACGCAATCTGAACTGAGCCGGAAAAATTGCACTAGATAAATAACAATACTCAAAGAACTTTAATAACTTCATGAACCAATCTTAAGCAAAAAAAGCACGGAAATATTTCAAAGAACTTTAAGCGACGTAACAAATAGCTAGAATACAAAAAGAATAAGAATAGTAAAAATACAAATGGAATTTAAGCCATAGAAAATATGAAAGGTATCTTCTAATTCTGTTCCCTTAACTATATCTCGAAAAAATCTATGATGTCAGCTGTCAGATCAACCCAGTAAAACCACTTGCTGTAGGTTGTAGGTGATTTGTACAAATATATTAAATAATTAAAAATATACAAAAAAAGTTCAAACGACAAACGAATTGTAACCGTGAAAAAACTACGATTAGAAAGAATATCATGCAAAATATAATCAGAACACCTAAGGCCTGTACAGTAATAATGCACAGCAACAATCGCAGCAGTGATGCATCAGTAAGCTTCCCCATAGTCGTATGTTATTTAGATACCGCCAAAAAGAAAATTATAAAAAAAAGAAAGTATTTCGCATCACGGCTTATGTTGCTTACAAACAGCTGGTGAGATTCCAGTAAGGCCAATTATATCGAACAAACCCGAAGTTGGGACTATTAAAAGGCAGCCTCAATATGAGACTCAGGAAACGATTAACATGAAGAGCAAAAAACATATTTTTGAACTGTATTCTGAAAGAACGCTAGCTGTCAACAGCAAAGGTGAACTGGAGCAATATTAATGAAATGGGCCTACTGCTTAAACGTTCTTCACCCGAGCTTTGTGATAAAGTCATAAATAAATCAAAAGATAGAAAAATTATTATGCAATACTGTCATCAGCAATACTCATCATTTTTTGTTAATAGATAATCAATGTAGATAGTTATCCTCAGTCTGAAAGTTGTGAACTAAGAACTAATCGTATAAATCGTCTGTTCTAAAATGTAAAACTGCTAAAAACAATAAAAAAAAACAAGTTTTCAAGTAACAGATACTAAGTATCAATGTTCGATTAATTTTAAAACAATTACTTCATAAAAAATGAAAAATTACGTGAAAATGGTATAAACGGCGTACGGTTTGAATGAGATCTGTAAAAGAAACCCTTTCTATTTCTCAATTCTTCTATGTCCACCGAGTTTTTTCCGGAATTCTGCTTAGAGGACTTTCATATTCATTGTTTTTCCTCTTTTCTCGCAAAGAAAGAGGAGCTTGAGGTACGGTGGTCGCATTAGCTGCAGCAGAATTATTTGACGGTGATTTGGTTCCTTCTCCTCTCGCACGATTCACTGCTCTTTCGTCACGATCTTGATTGTTAAGTTCACTCCTATATCCACCAATTATATACCTTAAAAAAAGGTTTAATAAAATTCTTAGATCTTATTAATTTCATTTACCCAATTTCTAATGAGTTTTTACAGGTCAAATAAACGTAACGCAAAACAGAAAGGAAGAAGAAAATTAACTAAGGCTAACTTGAAAACTTCACTTTTTTTTATAAATCAAAATATTTTCCGAAAATGCTACCTTTTCACTTGACGTGGATCAACAGCAGCACGAATCTGTGGCATCCAGCTACCTCCTGAACTACGACGACTTTCATAACTACCAACCCGCTCTGTATTGTGTTCTTCCATATGAGTATTTTCATAACCAGATGGGTTCAAACGATGATCTTGATCACGATTTTGAGTTGTTGTCTGCACTGCTGCCCCATATAGGCTATCAATTCCAACTCTTGATGTAGATGTTGACGGTATTTGTCCCATATGAATTACGATACCAGGCTAGAGTACAAAAAAGAGTAGATCTTCAAGTTAGAAAAAACAAACAAGGAAGATCAAACGTATTTTACTTTGTAAAGCACGAAATGTTTCATAAGAAGCTGCATGTTGAACGCAGATAAATCTTCTTTTAGCTTGCTTAACATGGAAAAAAGTGTAAACAATATATACCGAAGCAAGACGTGGGTCCAATGTAGGAGTCACGGTAGAAACTAGACGTGAATCACCAACAGCTGTTACACGTGGATCACTGACTGTTGTCCTTTTACGCGGATCTCGACTTACAGTCGACATCCTCGGATCGGTTAACTTCGATGCACTACAATGGACCATTACATCTACAATAAACTGCGCAGCAAAATCCACGCATCATAGCTCAAATAAATATCGACTTGCATATTGTCACCTTCCCACTGTTAATTGTTTTCATGGCTACATAAAATCATACTAATATTAACTACATCACATTCCCAAAGCAACTACCTTGACTCTTCTTTTGGAAGAATAGAAAGAACAGTGGACTGGATAGCAGATGTACTTGCTGTAGTATTCGACTGCTGCGCAAAGATTTGAGCCGGTTGTGGTAGTGGTGGTGGTGCGGCATTCATTAAGGAATTCGTAAAAGCATCAAACTGTGACGCCAGTGCTTTCTTAATACGCGGATCGTTACGAAGACCAGCATCAGTTAATGACATCTAAAAATTAATCGAGATGACACTAGTTTTTTAAATTAAGACGATAATAACTTGAAAAGAAGAAACACTATATTTTCTAAAACTACAAAACATTTAGCCTTACATACCTGCAATATCTGTGAATCAATATTTGTTTGAGGACTTGGTATGTTATCGACTGGATGTAGTTTCCATGCAAGAATATTTGTTTCCGGAATAGCTCGAGCATTTTCATCAGCAACTGCATCTGGATTAAATATAGGAGGACTTGCAGGAGATTCTGCAAAAATTTTATTCACATTATCTAGTTCTCACTCAAAACTGACAAATAAAGTTAAAGGATGCAAATCCAGTTATTTTTTCAAGAAATAGAAAAAAATCGGCATTGACTGCTAACCATCTATAATATTGTCCTTCTTCACTTTAGCTGTTATTTGTTCCAGCATTTTGTTGATGTTAAATGAATTGTCTTCCTCATCCTCTAGTGAACTACGTTTCTCAACACTTGTCTGAAAAGATATCCTGTTAGAATTTTAGCTAAAAGATATCCATGCCTAAAAAAGATATCCTGCTAAAATTTAAATCAATTTTCTGTTGACTGCAATGTTACATTGAAAAACAAACCGAATATTGCTGTAGAATAGCTGTTGCGCTCTGTACAGGTTGAGGAGGTACCAGTCCAGGAACAGCACCACTTAGTGATGCTGGGTTCACAACAGCTGTAGTTGGAACTGAGTGGTGCGGAAAGAAAGCAGGGTAAGGAGTTGGATTAGCCGTCAAAGGTGGTGGTATGACGAGCTGAGGTTGAGAAATAGTAACCGGTGCTCCTGATGATAAAGTTGGAACAACGACAGCAGGTGGAGGTATTACACCGCCAGTTATTCCACCATCTGCAGTCACTGTAACAATTGCCGGTACCGTTGGCTGAGCACCAGGTGAAGAACTTGGTCCACCAGGAAGCAAAACTCGTCGTTTCAAAGGACCTTGTGGAATAGCTATACGCGATGCTAATTCATCGTCTTTCATCATCTGAAATATGTTAACTGATTCCATAAACAAACTACTGGTAAGAAAAAACATCTTTAGTAGCCGGTTAATGCATTTTGAGAACTGCTAACCTGATCAAATATTGGCTGTGTGAAACTGTTGAGAGGTAAATGTGAAAACTGGCATGGATCTTTCGAGCATTCTCCTTTATGAAAAGCTTTACATGGATACTCTCCATGTAGTAAAGGACACTGAAGACCTTTTTTACAAAAACCTTGTTGGTAAAATTTGCATAGTTCAGCTTTGCGACCAGAATCTGCAGCATCGTGCGAATATGAACAGCTGTCACCCTAAAATTTCGTAAATTATGTTTACACAATTTTTGGCGCTTTATGATTTCAGCAATTTTTTTAATCACAAGAAACACAACGATGAAAAAGTTTTGTAGCTAGCCAAAGCAATCAGATTACAGATGTTTTTTAAAACTAATTTACTTTTAAAAAGGTGTAAATAACAAATCAAGATTACTTACATCTCTACAATATCCCTCGCGGAAGAATTTACAAATCTGACGCTCGCCCCAACGCCCTCGAAAACCTCTTCCGCGATAGCAACCTCGCACTGGTGGTGAGTGTCTTGGTCGCTTGGGACCACCATATGTTGGACTTACAGAACGTCGACGGCTGCAAAAAGCTTCACAAAAATAAAAATCTAAATTTATGCACTCTAAAATTTGAAACATTATATCATCAATTAAACTGCAGTTATCAGAAGTATTTGAGACTGCGATGAATTTTTGTTGACTCTTGAGATATCCACTGATTCTTAACTTCTCAAAATGAATGCCAACCGTCTTTCCATTTTGGGTGATCCGCCTCTGTAATCGCTGTCGCCAAATTCATTCACATCACCAGGTCCTCTGTGTCCATCTTCATCTCGTATCCAACGATAATCCTTGAAATATTATTTCAGAAGTCAGAAAGCATTTATATTAGAAACCATGACCAAGTTAATATTTCTATGAAAACGTGAAGAAAACGACACTAAATCACTAATGATAAAGTTTTTTCCAGATTAACCTACATCAAAAAAAAACTGTCCATGTCGCAAATCTTGGCTCAATATCATACTTAAAAATGTTAAAAATGTTTTAAAAATGTTTGTAGAGCGAAATGCACTTAAAGAAACAAAAGCCTTTTCCTTGAACAGTACTCTACAAAGCATACAAATAATTATACCTTATCAGCTGAATCCCCTCCTCGATTTCTATAATCTTTGTCCCCTGTTCCATCATTTGGTGAGTTATTGCCGTACCCATAATATTCTTCATTTGCATCAACCGTTGGAGAGGCGATTGTTGTAATTCCCGGCTTTGCACGCTGTTTTACGCCAGTCATCCAAGAACTGAGCATACTACCTTCAGCACCTCTTGTATTCTAAATTTTGCTATCTTTCAGAATGTAATAATACTAGCTCGAATTTAAGCAGTCCTACATTTCAAAGTCCGAACTTAAAACATCTTCGCGACAAATATTTCTTGACTGAACAAGTATTTCAAAACTCAAACACACCACACTGTTAAACGTATCGTTTTTGAAGCACAAGTTTGAAAATGACTACTGCTCACTTCTCCCGCTCACTCAGTCACGTGTCCCAAGTACTCTAAAAATACACACGAGCGAGCCATACGCACCTCATTCATCCACTAACTTTCGACGCTCACTGCGGAAACGATATCACTTATTCCAGATTAAACAGGTAGGACACCAATAGCATAAGGACTCTAAATATTACAGTGAAGAAGAGTTCCTAATTAAGTTGCTAGCGAGATTCTAAACAAAATGGAATCATCTTATTTAGAATTCATTTTGTTTTTTGTTTTCAACTGTAAAATACACTTTTTTATAAAGAAAATATTTCTTAATAACAGCATCACTGAAGCGATGCTGTTATTAAGAAATATTGTTTTCTTTATAAAAACTATGGTAGTTGTGCTTTTTTGGGTAGTTTTTGTAAAGTCCGCAAGGATCACTGGATACAACTGTAAAATACACTGTAATGTATTTGTTGCGTTTGCTGCATTTGCATGCATTCTCCACCATCTGCTTGTTTTTCAGACATATCCAGTCATCATCATCTCATCATTTTTCCTTCTTTTTTACCAGTTATTTTATTATTGTTCGTTCATATTTCTGTTTTTGTATGTTGAACAGTTTTTTTATGCGTACCGCCATTTCTTTGTCGAGATCACGCGGTTTACGTAAAGGCGGCTGATTCAAAGACATATTTGGAGATACAGCCTGCGCTGTTTCTCGATTTTCCGTTGTTTCATGATCGCGTCCTGAACAAAATTCACATAAATATCATGTGCACACTACTGTGGATGAAAGTATGATTGAGCAGATGATAAATTATAAACACAACAAGCAGAAGGTTATACCACCCATCACGATATTTAGGTAACTTTTAAGAGAGAGATCAGCAACAAGAATAACCTTCAACATCTTCGTCGTCACAGATTTCACCTTCTTCTGGTAGCTCACCATCTTCTACTTCTATCTGTGCAATGGTTTTGCTTTGAATTTCAACGTCTTCCCTTACTGCTTCCGAAAATTCGTATTCTTCCAATGAGCCTGCCATAACAACATCGACCATTGTTAACGCATCACTTTTTTCTGTCAAATAATATTGTCAAATCCATATGACAATATGCCATTCAAAAACGCGTGCGGAAACGAGCAAGATATGCAATGTAAATGGACATATGGCCTTGTCTGGGTTTCGATTAAATTATTTCAATGAGCATGATCCCTCTCTTTCAAGTTATTGGAGAATATCGTGCTATTTAAAGCTTTATGAAGGTTATTCCACCTCAGAAAAATGGCCCGTTGAAACAGTTTACGCCATGTTAAACATGTTGAATGTAATCATGAGCCTCTCATTTACAATCCACAGCAGTGGCTATTTAATCAGAATGTTTGGCATTTTCGAAGTACTCTCTCTTTCTCTCTCCCTCTCTTTTTTCACATGTAATAATGATTGACTCCGTGACTGTGGAGTGGAAACTCAAAAGGGGGACAAATGACCGATATGGAACAATAATGTGTGAAATCATTCCCCAAAACTGAAAATAAAATTAAAGAAATGTCGCAAAATTAGGAGTAAATGGCACAAAATGAAATTAATTTCCTCAATAAATACGAGATTGATGGTTGACCATAGAAATGCCACAGGAGTGCTTTGTATAGTTTATTGAGTACCTATCACCAGAATATATTATGTCATGACAATCACAGATGTGTCCATATTTCAACTGTTACACACTTCATAGTTACTTGTTGAGCAAGCAGTTCGAGAAGGAAATGTTACATGTTTTATGTCGAGTTGATAACCCAAGTACACAACTGTTTTTTTTTACTTTTCAAAAATTGCCATTCGTTCTAACTAAATAACTCTGAATTCTGATAGAAAAAGGCGAAGTCAAAAGAAATGAATAAAACATATGTGGCCCCAACCAATGCTCAAACAAAAAATATCATACAAAAATGATTTATCAAGTTGTTGATGATAAGAGCGATCTGCCTATTACTTTGTTACAACTCTCCGTAATCCACCGAGTCTTTTCAAAATGATAACCGGTCTTCTGCGGCAAGCGTGGACATGGCTCACTAATAATTTACACCTACTGCATCTCAAAAAAAGGATTCGGAGGCAGTTTGTTTGTTTTTTCTCAAAAAATTCACATGAACTGAAATTAGCATCCCTACATAAAACCCATAACATCCGTGATATCATCAGAAGTGATGAAACAACATTTTGAGAAGTAGAGATACTACTGGAAAAATTTTTCTGAAATAATGAATATGAACATAATTCTGGTAGAATATCATGGCAATTAATCCAATGACGTGAAAGTATATTGACTAAAAACAAAATAATATGGTAATCCTTAAACTATTCCCATGGCTGCAGATCCTTACGTGAGTGGAAGTCGACAGCACTCCGCTAGAAATAAAACTGACGAACTCAAATTAGCAGACAATAAATAAATGTAAATGTCATAGTAGTTTTGAGGAATGGTGAAATTATACCCATAATAGGCTGTTCCTCGAAAAAAACAGTAACGCCTCAAACCGTGGAATGTTTCATGCACCAACTTCAGTTCGTGAAGTGCTTTAAGTCCTTTATGAAATTCTGGATGTTTCTATTTGCAATTCTCGGTTCGCTTAATCCTGAACTGTTAACAAATGATATCAGTTAACTGTAATGATACTTCGATACTTCCCCTTTCCGCGTTGTTCTAAAATCAATAATATTCGCTACAATTTACTAATCGCAGAACGAACATGTTTTCCCAATCAATTTCTTTCAAACAAATGTAAATGTTATGGTGCGAAAGTAGGGAGATATTAAGAACTCCAACTACTCTCAAATAAATGTAAAAGCTTTGAGGACTCATGAAACTCATTACAACCCTCAGAGATCAACTAAAAAATGAGCACTGATTACCCTTCCGATACGGAGTGAGATTCTAGAAACAAAAACCTCAAGTTCATAAAAAGCATGCTCCTATGTAAATATCAGCCTCAAAGCATCTTTGGACCTGTTCTAACAAATTCATCACACTTTAACAATAAAGAATTTTTACAGTATTTTCTCGGTGCAATGAACGTTTCATTCGAAGCGACAAGTTACCTTCCTTAAAGTATGAGCAGAAGCGTTCACACAAGAAAATTTTAATTGATCACTGTATTGCTTCTATGTAAGCATCACTTAAACAGTTCAATTTTGGCTGGAACCTTCTTTTCCCCTCCACATTGATATTTTTTTCAAGCTCAAATGTTGTCAGCACATTTCCTTCCGGTAGAAAGTTTATAAGTGTACGTAAAATGATTTTACAGTTTGAAAAATGTGAGTAGAAACGTTAAGACTTCACTTTACAAGCTACCTTCGGTATCTAGGAACTCATGCATTGAGCATCCACGGATTTTGATGGTTTTTTTTAAGGAACTGTAGCTAAAGGTGTACTGTGAAATCTTTTGAAAACTTGACACTACTGCAACAGATGAATAAAGTTACTACTTAATCATGAACATAAACAGTTGAAGGAAACAGGAAATCTCTAAAACGTGGAGAGATGATGCCATGGATGCATTAAAAACCCAGGAATAAGCGTCAGGAAGGTAATACGATACAGTTATGAGAAAAAAAAATATGATGGATAAAGTGAACTGGCAGTATCTTTGGCCAGCTATCCTCCCTGTCAAATTACGAGCCTGAGTTTCAGGATTTATGAGTAGTGTGTTTCTCAATATGTGACTGTTCATGGATGTATTCAAGAGCAGGACTGCCTGCACCGACCATGTCGTCGTATTTTTAGATTCATTTTTGGAAAGTGCTTTAATGAAGAGCAGAAATAATTACCAACAAGACTATAACTTCCTCAGAATTCCAACGCTACTCGCAACACAACTCCATTTTCCATCTCTAACAATTCACGAATCATACAATATCGATAAGCTCTTTTTAGTCGACAAGTTCAGATGTAGGACTTGATAGTTCGCGACACAAGCCACGCCCACAACTTCAAGTCCCGCCCTTCCGCCCAGGATATGCATCGCTCGTTAGCTGCGTGGCTGTGATGCCTTGCATACAAGTATAGTAAAAGAAGTAAGGTTTACTGTAAATTACTTTCGCAATTTTAATTTTTTCATAGGAAAAGAGTATCTCGTCCAAGTTCTCAAAGGTACAAAAATGCACAGAGTAAAACTGTCGAATGAAAAGCAACAAAATTAACCTGCAGAAGACACTCATTTTTGAAAATAAACAACCCCAACTCAAATTTCCTGCATAGCTATGAAATCTTGATATTTGCAAAGCAATCTTCTTGTCTGCATCGCAAACGTAAATATTGCATTTGTAAACATAGGTGAGTTAGTGAAGGGAAAAAGGAAATGATTCGGTTTTTGCGTCATCCGACTCGTACTATTTGCCGAGAAGGGACTCTCATTGGTACTACACGTAGAAATCAACGCATAACTTTTGCATTAACTTTAGCCTCCGACGTACACACAACCAGGTTGTGGTGGTCTCTACATCGTCGCATCGCCAATACATCAATGGCATACGGCATCCAACACAACACCCTGCCACTCTTCCCTTTCCCTCCCCTCGTCTGTTGCACAATCTATTAGGACTCTATACCCTCCTGATCTCCATTCCCTCTCTTCCGCTATCTACTGCTAAATTAAGTGCTCTGTTTTCTTACTTTGTAAAAGCTATCTTCCACCATCCAATAGAATTGATTGATTTCCTCCCATCCCATACTCCTCTTCTCCCTCTCCACTCTCACACAACACTATTCATCTCTCCTACTACCCAACAATCTGACCCATGCATCCTTCCCTACTGATATCATCTCTATTATTGAATCATTCCAGCATCCGTATTCATAGCTGATACATATATGTGAGTGTGCCTTTGCTTCTCTGTGTACACTTGAGAGACAACGGAGAAGAGATTGCTACGATAAGGCGGAGGTGTTTGTGTCGCCGGTGGATGGTGGTAAACAGTATTGACGGTAAGGTATGGCGATCACGCCGATGGAAATGACCATTGGGACACTGTCCATCATCTCTTTACCCCTTTTCTCTTTTCTCCGCCTCCCATTAGCATTTGGTAAGTGATAATTGCCAATGCCTGAATATGCAGTGGTGATCCCCCTATTTCTGTTCTGAAGATTCCGGGGAAACTTTATATCACTTATGCAATTTGATGTTACAAGACAATATTAAGCCAAAAATTAAATGCAAATTCATTCCATAACTTCACAGACGCCAAGGTTTCATTGCTGTACAGTCGCCACAAAAATCTGGCGTACTGTCTCTAAGATACTAATCCATGCAAGACATGGCTTTGGCTCGCTATGCCTACCACTAAACCATTTTACACAGCTCTTTCGATGGATATACTCGTAACGATCTTTGCTTACTGTTCGAAATTAAAGTACCCCCTTAGACTTCCAAAACATTGTCTTCATGTTCTCAAACCATTACTTTTTTAATAAAATATAAAACAAAATTACCCTCAGCACATTTCTTTACAAGCTTAGAATTGAGACAACAGGAAGGTTCTGGATCGCTTTTTATGGTCTGCATTATATCCCGTCTCCCATTTTCTTTTCACTCTTGCTCGCCTTTACTTTACTTTCCTTAACTTGCGCTCTTTGGAAAATATTTCGAAAAGACAACTTTCCATGATTTGATAAAATAAATTAACAAGCAGTGACGAAAGGTACCGGTCATTAAAAACGAGCACGTTTTTCGATGGGTTCGGGATAGGAAAGATATTCGAATTACCAGCAATTTGTTTAGAGGACATAATTGTTAGTTCCGGGACCACCATAACAGAACTGATGATGGCTTCCTCTGCACAGAATCGATTTTTTAAATTGTCCAAAAGTTGTTTAACTAATGTTAATTTTTACGAAAATTTGTTGAAAAAAGAGATCGTTGTTGAAGATGATTGAAGTTGAATTACTTTCAGTACAATTTGCAACAGAAGCGCAGTGAATTGGTAAGCATAAAAGTCATTCCAATAAACCTCTTCTGCAATGCGACCCGCACAGACACACACACACACACACACACACACAC